TAGTAGACAGCAAGTTGTCCATGGGACAGCAATGTGCCCTGGTGGCCAAGAGGCCCAATGGTATCCTGGGGTGTGTTAAGATGAGTGTGACTAGCAGGTCGAGAGAGGTTATCCTCCCCCTCTACTCTGTGCTGATGAGGCATCATCTGGAGTATTGTGCCCAGTTCTGGGCTCCCCAGTTCAAGAGAGACAAGGAACTTTTGGAGAGAGTCCAACGGAGGGCTACGAGGATGATTAAGGGACTGGGACATCTCTCGTATGAGGAAAGGCTGAGAGATCTGGGGCTGTTCAGTCTGGAGAAGAGCAGGCTGAGAGGGGACCTTATCAATGTCTCTAAATATCTGAAGGGTGGCTGTCAGGAGGAAGGAACCAGTCTCTTTTCAGTAGTGCCCAGGGATGGGACAAGGGGCAATGGGCACAAACTGCAGCACAGGAAGTTCCACCTGAACATGAGGAAAAAGTTCTTTACTTGTGAGGGTGACGGAGCACTGGGACAGGCTGCCCAGAGAGGTTGTGGAGTCTCCTTCTCTGGAGACCTTCAAAACCTGACTGGATGCGTTCCTGTGCAACCTGCCCTAGGTGATCCTGCCTTGGCAGGGGGGTTGGACCAGATGATCTTCAGAGGTCCCTTCTAACTCCTACCATTCTGTGATTCTGTGAGGGCTCTATGTTTATACATGGCTCTATGTCTTATTATGGCTCTAACCATTTATACATAACAGATCTAGTTCCTCATCTTTTTCTTAGATATATCTGTGTGTTCTTACATGTTTATACATATAAAATAGAAAGAATCTGTGTTTAATTCCAACCAATTATGCCACCAATTTTTAGGTGGTAGTATATTTAGTATTTTTAGTGGACAGTGAAAACTTGTGTAACTTCTGAAGAAATTTAAACATTTCAAGTGAATTTGAGACAACATAGGCTCTGGTGTCAAAGCGAAGGTGTGTTCAAGCTGCATGCCTTAACTTTCCTGCCTGAGGTCTAGTTTGAACCTTCCCATCAATAAGGTAAGGAGGAATGCCAACACTTTGTTCAGTGAATTAAGTGACAGTCAGCATACTTTTGAACTGGACTTACCTGCTCTGAGGTGTTTTGATATTTACAAAGATGTATTTTGTGAAAGACCTGGGGCTCTGACAGAAACCCTTTTACAAATACAGCTGGGGTGATTTAAAGACTTGCTTCCCTTAGTTATTCACACTATATCTAAGAGGACAAATTCAGTCTTGTTAGTATGGTCTGTTACTAAGATTGGTTTGTGTGAAAGCACTGGACTGTGATTTTGGGCAGCTCAGGCAGGGATACAGGTTGTCTTCGGCTGCTGTGCTACACAGGGACAATAACCTTAGTCAGAGAAATGCTGGGGAGGGGCTATCCAGGGGGCTGGTATCACCTTAAATATCCACAAGAAGATTTACCAGAAATCGTTGTCAGATCCAATCTTGTTTGCCATTATAGCTTGTCATTTTTCTTCAGGGAATTGCTAGTGATCTGAATGCAGTCCATTGGCATGGGGTAAATGGACAACAAATTCTGCTTTTGAGTAGAGCTAGTCACTGGCTCTGTTGTTTGGTGCTTAAACCATTAAGCTGTCTGGCTAATGATTGCTGCTTGATAATAGAGCATGTAGTTGGGGAATGTTGCCTACTCTTGGCAGGAAGTTGTTGTCTTTGGAAGGGCATTCTGGGCTTTTTACCAAAATGCCAGGAGAAGGATTTCAACAGGTCGCTGATTTTGTTAGGTAGAAGCCAGAAAGGTGAATGAGGAGGGAATTCGAAATAAACAGGATTCTAGGAAGGGTGCTCATTATTCGTTTTTCCACCCAGAAGAGACAAAGTAACATTTACCGTTTAGTTATGTAATTTACAGACTGCATACTTGATAGGGATAGTTTAAATTTGAGCAGGCAATTTCCGTAAGAAATTGGACATAAGTGCATTTGGAGTTTATTTGTTACCAACTGAATATCTTTTTAGATGTATCACTAAAAGTAATGAAATCTCCATTACTCTTATGCAGCCCATTTATATTTCAGCTAGAGAATTTAACTGAAAGTATCTGCTGGTCATAGAAAACTTGAAATACCTAGATTTAAGTTTTTCATAAGGAGGATATAATTTGTCTATTAATATTCAGTGCTCTTTATTTAATATCAACATGTATGATCAGAAAGAGGTACCTGTCTGGTGCCTCAGAACAGTTCAAGAGTAGAAACAAGCTGGTCATTGTTCAAGACAAGAACTGGAGTGATAATATAGTATCGTAGTCATTAAATAAAAGGTCTTACAAACTCGTATCTGTCTAGTTATTGCTTCAAGTAGCCTTCATTTCTACAGTTCGCAAAATTACTTCTCTCAACCTCCTTCTCAGTCATTCGGTCCCCACTCTTCTTTGCCTTAGACTCAGACGTGATACATGCATTAACAGTGCAAAGAAAACTTCTCCTTGATCTCAATTCATAGTCTGTATCCAGATTTGATCTGCTCAGCAGCAGTCCAAAGTTGCACTTGTGATTAAAATTGTTGGCTTCAGTCTGGGCTAAGGTGAGACCAGATAAGAGTCTTTGGGAATTTAATTATGAGGGTCTAGCAAATCCTTAGTGAACGTGTGTGAACTCATTTTTCAGAGGCTTTTTCAGGTTGGCCAAATGTCAATAAAATTCCACAAACTGCAGAATAACAGTTTCTGTATACAGGGAAAAGTTGTTTTCTAGCCTCTGGGTTTCCAGTCAGGGAAGAACAACAGGAGTATGTAGGGAAGTGAGATTATTTAATAATATGACTATAAGCCAGTTTGTTAATAACCCAGCACTGTGGTGGCATGTGACTTCTAACTCATATTTTCTTTCTGGCTTCATTGAATTACTTGCATCAAAGACAAAAAACAAACTATAATTTGTTTTATGATCTGATTCAGCATTTATTTATGATTACCTTGGTCATCCACAAGTCTTTGCTTCCAACTGTAAGGTCACTAGAACCTCTTAAAGAAATGGCATCAAAGCTTAAAAAAACCCCATAATATCCCCTAACTTTTCTCTTGGACACTTCCGAACCGTTTTATCTGGGGAGGAAGAAACAAATAGCCTGAGGATAAAATTTCACTCCAGATGGTTAAAGTTTGGCAAAATTATAAGGAGCTGAAAAGTCAGAGCTATAATGGGTTGTGCCATGCAGACTTGATAATAGGCAAATGTTAAAAGCCGTGCAAATATGAAGTCAGTGGTAAATTGTTTTCCTACTCTGTTTCAGAGCATCAAATAGAAGCAGTTAAAATAAAATAGTATAGATTAATTCTAATTTTAAGAAAGCATGTAGAATGATGGTTACTGCCTTATTCTTAATAGATATTTGGAAAAATGAAGACAGGCTTAATCACAAAGGAGATGTTTAATTACATAGTATAATATACAGAATATAAAAGCACTTCTAATGTCTAAAAGTGTACTGTGGGATTGATTATAAAAAGTCAATACAATCCAATCAGGGAATCTAGCTGCACTAATGTATACAGAGACAGTGCAAACAGTGTCAAGGATGACCACTTCAGTGTTACTTTTCACACAATTTTGAAACAACTCAAAAGATGATGTTTTCATAGTCTTTATTTCCATGTAAGCTTACTCTGTTGCTCCAGCAAAGCTTCCACAGGTGGAAGGAGACAGTAATTCTCTGTTTACATACAGAACAGTGTTACAGCACTACAAATAGTCGTACGAAATAAGGGGATTTCACACTTTACCATCATGTCAGCAATACACTGTAGTTAGGACAGAATGATTCCTGGCATAGTTAATGATGGCATTCTTGCCAGGATAACGCTGAGCCCAGCGCTGTGTAGTTTACCTTTTGTCGTAAGCAAATTTTGCAGCCACTGCAGAATAGCCTGAATCTGACTTGTAACCTAAAGGAGGAAGGCTTAACCGTGTTAGCAGTAGTTTCAATTGTGCAATCACTCTTTCTTTTATTCCCTAACAATGCCATAATCGTACAGAGAAGCAGTATCTTTTGTTGAATGCTATGGCACAGTCCATAAATAAGTTTTCTGCCTTTTACGAAACATTCTTCAAGACCTTAGGGAGCAAGAACTTGCACTCAGAAATGAGCCTCCACTCACATATTGCAGTGAGGAACATCATTAGCCTATGAAACTTGTCTCCATAAAGATTAGTATTAATAAAGTGGATGTATTGCTTCATGAAATAACATATAAATGAGTAATTCATATTAATAAATCCTCTTCTTATGAGATCATTTAGAGGAGTGCATTGTGACAAAGTGGTTGTCATTAGTCAGGTATAGTGTGGGGTGCCAGAGAACCTTTGTGTGATGCCAGGTGTAACTTTCTAAAGAGGGCTTATCATGTAAGTGAGGATGATAGTAATGCTGTCCCACTGGCATTGCACCTTCTTTGTAAATGCATGAAATAAATTCTAGCTACCTTTTCTTTGAAGAATTTACTCCTTAGTTGGTGTGATTGGCAGCAACATTGTGAATTTAGTCACGGAATGAGGTGTGATCTTCCAGTCAGGTATGTGCATTAAGGATAAAAAAAGCTTTATGTGGTTATATAATTAAAGACGGTGTGATAACATAAGCACAGTGGTGAGAACGCAAACACCCTTAATCCTGGTGTTTCTTAGCCTTGTGAGTATGAGAATCTGCAGCCTTTAACAGTTTTAAATATAGTTTGTGTATGTGTATTATAGATAAAACAAAAGTGGGAATGTGGGATTGTGTTAAAATAGTCCGGAGGCTTTTCAAGCCCATTTTCTTTCAATATTGACACTTTTTGCATAAGTGGGTTGGAAAACTGACAAACATAACATATGTTGTATAAATAACTGAGCGGTGTATCACCATAGTGGATACATAAACTTCTTTCTTACCATTCTGTTATCTGCAGTCTTTACAAATCCGTTGCTCACTAGCAATGCAGACACAAAGTTATGTCTTCATAAACATACTAACTGTGGTGCTTTGTTCATTTTCCAGGATTTTCTTTGCCTGCTGTTGGAAGACATCACTGAACAAAAAGAGTAAGTGAGAACCAGGCTAGAAAAGTCAAAGAAGAAAGTAGAAATCAGATTTAAATATCAGCTGTGCTAGCCAGAAATAGTAGGATTTCATTTAGTATTGTTCTGCTTGTTTTTTTCGAGTGTGTGTGTGTATCTTTCTCTGAAAATTCTCAGACATATATACACAAAAAATACAAGACTTGCTGTGTTGTTGCTGTCCCATGCCCCTCCAAGTAGTGCCTTTAACTTGCATGTTAGGGCAGCAGTGAGGTCCTGTGTTCACTATGCAATCTGAAGTGCCAGGCGCAGCTGCCTCCTCAAATTAATCTGTGATCCTCCTGCCAGCTGCTTTTGACACATGGCACCCTAGAGCAAGGAGGCTGGAGCATTGCCGTGGATCTGGGAAACCAGAGAAGATGGATTTTCCTCAAGCAGTAGTCTGGTACCATTCCCTCCCTGTCACACAGTGTGCCAGACAGGGAAGGATGGAAAACGCTGACGGAAATCCAGCGTTTAATTGCCTGACTTGTCCTTCAGAATCCTGCTGTATGTGACTGACTGGCCAAAGATGATACAGCTAGTCTTTAGCAGAGCTTTGAATCCATCCCTGCTTATCTGTTGTTTTCTTCTGTGCTACAAATGCAGATTCTTTTGTAACGGAGCTTTACATATTATAGTTTTTAAAAACAATGTATTCACTTGAAAAATGCAGTTTGGGGAGCAAGATTCCAAAACTCTTCATAAATCTGGGTGAGTAGTTTGAAAAAAAAAAAAAAGAAGAGAAGATATTCATAGAAGTCAAATGTATTGAGTTTTTTTGTGAAACACTTCTGTTCTTAGGGGGTGAGGGACAGAGAAGCTAGTTGTCATTGAGACACTGTGTTTTGTGGAACCATGAATTTAGTTTGGGTGGTGTTACATTTTACAATGATGTACTGTAGTGTGGTATTTTGTTTCTATCCTTGGATATGGATTTCCAGCCCCAATAGAATGAGGAATATTAAATGGAAGATATGGGAAGCTGAATTATTTAATGGCATGATTATACATTGATTTGTTAATAAAATCTCTGTCTTCCTTGGTTTTTTTCACTTGTGTTCTCTGAAGCCCAAATCCAGTGCAAAATGTTATTTGAATAAGCATCCAATTTTCAGCTTAAAAACATGCCAAAATATTTAAACTTTCAGTGAGACTAATGCAAAAGAATTATGTCTCCATTTGTGTTGTACCATACTCCAGAATGTATGGACAAAATTTCAGATCTATGGTAATTCATTTTACAGTCAGACATATAGTGTATCTGAACTTACCTACTGCCAAAATTACCTTGGGTGTAGATACCAACAGCGAAGCCAAGAATAATAGAACACCTGGATAAACAGAAGGCCTTTAATTCTTATCTGCTACAAAGTTGTTTTTTCATTCCTGAATATATCCTGTTGCTAGTACACAAATACTAGCCTGAGGTAAAAGCAAAGGGAGGAAACAAAAATTAAATATGTTTAGAGATCATCTGCTGATAAGTGCTTTTTTGCACAAAGCTTCAGTCAGGAATGAAATGCATTTCAAGATTAGAGCAACAAAATTCTTTGTAGCACACAAAACCTCCCAAACTTGTGCAATTCTACCAAGTAAATTGTTAATGTTAAAACTAAATGCTTCTTACTTGAAAAGTATTAAGCACTCTAATATACTGAAGTTTATAATGGAGGCTGGACTTAATAATAAAAAAAAAAGCAGAAAAGAGAAAGTAGTAGTAGTAGTAGTAGGGAATCAAGCCAAATCCTGCCCTCAGCTGTGGCAACAGGGGCAAGCTAGTGTTGCTAGGAGTAGAATTTGGTTTATGGCAGGTGAGAACAGGATTAACACTGGGAGAAAGCAATCATACAACATTGTGGAAATTTTCTGTAATGATGGTGTCGGTGTAATGCAACAATAGTTTTCTGCTATTGGATACAGCAGACTATATCTAAAAGATTCTCACTCTTCCAGCACTGAATTTCTTTAGTTTTTAGTTACAGGAGATTTTTTAGTACATTCCCAGCAATGAGCAGTTCCAAGATACAGATGTAACTTCTTAAGTGGCAGTCATTGATTTTTGCTGCCTTCTGTGCTCAGAGGAGGATGATTATATGCCTAGTTTATAGGGCTACTTCACTTCCTGCTCTGATGCAACTTTAATGGCATGTTAGCTGTAGGAATCCATTCTCCAAGGCAGGATCCTCCTGTTTCTGGACTGCGGCTGAATACTGACATCAGACAGGCCTCAGAAGTATCTTCTGGTCCTTTAGAACTTCCTAACTTGCCCTTAAGGCAGATTATTTCTGTGTGTGAAGGGCTAATGGCAAGAAGGACAAAGACGTATCTATCATTATCCTTCTCTGTTTTCAAAGCCTTTTAAAATATAACATACACTGGCTATAGCCTCACATGACCTTGGCCTTTCTGTAGAAAATATGCAATAGATCCCACCTGTAACTGAGGCATCGTATTTCCTAATACGTAATTTGAAACTTCACTACATTAAAAAAAATAAACCAAACAACAACAAACCCTCTTATGTGTCTATATATCACTAGTTTGATAAAACTCCCAGTGGCTCTATTCTCCTCAAGGCTTACACCCATAATCTTTGCTGTAAATCGATCCTCTCCGCATCTGCCCAACATGTGAGCCCTGCAAAGACTCAATGTTTTTTAAGGTCCTGTAACAGAGGGTGAGTTTCACCAGCCTCAGGTAAATCAGAGTTTCAGCTGCTTGTGCTCTTTACAACTGCAAATGTTTTTGAGCAGGTCAGTTCTGGTTTTTGGGGTTTTCTGGTGGTATTTTATTTTATTTCATTCAATAAAATAAGTAAGTGTACTAATAAAGCTCTGGTTTTAATAATACACGATAGACAAAGGGAGGCTTGTGCTACAGCTCTGCTATTTGTACTGTTAATAACTCAGGCTTACTAACCACATTCCTTGGATGTCTTCATAAATTGTCAATTAAGTACTAAATCAATGTTAAAATAACGCTGTAATTTCAAACAACTCAGCTGTACAGGTATGTGTCTCTTTCTTTCATGATTGCTTCCTTTGTTGCTCACATTGTCATGAATGTGGTGATTTTGACTAATACAAACTGCTGGTAGGCACTCAGCTCCCAAAGCAAATCACTTTTATGTGCACTGTTTATTTGCTGAAATATCTTATTCTAAAAATGGTTCCTCCTTCTTTATTGAGGAATTTAGTGGGTTCATGTTGATGTTTGTAGAGTGTCTTCAGGCCTTGTGCAATGAACGCTTGATATATAGGCATTTTTTATAATGCTAATTTTCAAATTATTATTAATGTTAGTATTTTATATAGCTTGCTCTGAAGTATTGAATCTGGCCATGACCAGTATGTATGCATGTTAGGAGATCATTCCTAGGCTGATGGGCTTATCGTCTAAACAAATAAACAAGGGATGAGATAATGGGTGTACTAGGATTCTCATTTTACAGTAGGGAACTGTATTACAAAGTAATTGAAGAACCTGCCCAGCCTTTAAGAGCTCTGTTATAGTGCTAATCAGTTGAACCCAGATCCCACAGTCCAATACAGTACCTTTAACCAGGCGGCCATTCAGGAAATCACATACACACCAGATTTAAATCCATACAGATGCTTAACTGCAACATAAGTAGGTGGTCAGTGCCCTTTCTGAATATGGATGCTTTACTGAACTGCAGCCTCTATAAATATCAGGCCCCGTGTCCTTTCTCTAGGACATTTGTTTTGAAATAGCAAGCTGTTTGTGATCTATTTTTTGGGCTTGATCCGAAGCCCAACAGGTTAGTGGAAACCTTTCCAAGGACTTCACAGTTCTTCAGTAATGACTCTCAACACATTCAGGGTAGATCTTTGCAATAGTCTGCATATTGTTAATATACTTGGAGAAAAATAGTGAATGCCTGTAAAATGCTAAAACAAGTTGCTTTTTCTGATGGGTGTCAACAAGAATATCGTGAGATGGAAAAAAAAAAAAGGCGTGTGAACATACAAAGATGACTGCATGTGGTCATATAACAGGTGTTTAGCTGAAATTGAGGGTGTTGCAGGCAAAGGAATAGCAGCGTTGTCTTTGCCCTTGAGAAAAATGTCAAGGTTTCAAGACAGGCTGAGCAACTTGCTAGTGGTGTTTCTGCCTGGATTAGTGTGGTGTCAGAACAGTGCAATTCCCCTCAGTGTCATAAGCTCATTTCAAAGCCAGTGTTTTGAAATGAGCTGTTGTTGGCTTTGAAAGAAATAGAGGGTATATTAAACAAAGGCACTACATAGCAAATGTAGTGTTATTATTTTGCATAGATTTTTTTTTTTCCTGAGGAAATCTCACACTTTAAATTAAGCTTAGTTTCTAGAGGGGGAAAAAAAAAAAGACAAACTAGCATTGTGAGGCTGTTTCTTAACCCTAGGTGAGACAAAATAAATGCACACATAAGGGTATTTTTCCCTAGCTGCTAGCTCTGCTTCATCATTGGAACACTAAGCTGTATTGGTTTTGATTCATGCAATAACAAATAAAAAATTGTTTTTCTCATTATGCTGCTTGAGACAGAATAAATGGTATAATCCACCTGATGTACCTTTGACTATATAAAATGTGGATGTCCAGTTTTAAACTAGTCCTGTATACCCTCTCTGTAGTAACCAGACAGAAATAGGAGCTCAAGAAAATCCATCATCTTATCCCGAGGAGGGTCAGTTGACTAGAGATACTTCTCTCTCCATTCTGTGGAAGGGACTCAGCTAACTAACTTAGACTAGATAACAATTTTTAGAGCACTATAGTAAGGTAAAGGTACTTATAGCCTGAAGGATCTGGCAGTCAAATGGTGTAAATGTAAGAAACTTGCACAAATAACAAGGTACTACTAAAAGCTGATCAAATCTGGATATTTAGTAATTCATTTGAGTGTAGACCACTACCCCATTGCATATATGTTCAGTTATATGTAGAAAATTTATTTCCAGAGTAATCAGACATGCACAATGGTAATTTCCTGAAAATTCAGAATCCTGGCCATGTAGAAATGCTTCTGCATGACTGCTGCAATTATTTGAACCACATGATCAGAGGGAAGGTTTTTTTTTTGTCTGTGACAATCTGTGATCTAATATTACAAGAGATATTTTGACATTTCAGATTTAGTGATTGGGAAGATTTCTTTGTCTCTATGGGAATTATTCTCCCTTCTGGGGCTTTTTATATCATCTCTTACTTGTAAAGACACTGTTGAAGTAAAGTTTGGGCCTAAATTGCATGAACTGTCAAAATATATTACCAGCAGCACATAGACTACTGCTGTTTCCACATTAAGCCTCCTTGGTGTGCCCCTTAAGACTGATCAAAAAACAAAGAAAACTATTAATAGTGCAGTGGACAGATAGACAATGAAAATATGTATAAATGGCATTATTGTCATTGTAATCTGAAGGTTATTTTCCTTTAATCTGGAGCATTGTATTGGGTTTGCATGGCAAGGTTTTGGTAGTGGAGGGAGCTGCAAGGGTGGCTTCTGTGAGAAGCTGCTAGACGCTTCCCCTGTGTCCAACAGAGCCAACATGAGCCAGCTCCAAGACAGACCCACCGCTGGCCAAGGCTGAGCGCATCAGCGATGGTTGGTAGTGCTGGAGATAATGGGATTAAACATATTTAAGGAGGGGAAGAAAAGGCACAGCAGTATGCAGCCAGAGAGAGGCATGAGAATACGTGAGAGAACAGCCCTGGAGACCCCCAGGCCAGAGCAGCAGGAGGGGCAGGAGAGGCTCCAGGTGCCGGAGCAGAGGTTCCCCGGCAGCCCCTGGGGAAGCCCATGGTGAGGCCGGCTGTGCCCCTGCGGCCATGGAGCTCCATGCTGGAGCAGATCTCTACCTGCACCCGGGGAGGACCCCATGCTGGGACAGGAGGATGCCCAAAGGAGGCTGTGACCCTGTGGGAAGCCTGTGCTGGAGCCGGCTCCTGGCAGGACCTGTAGCCCCATGGGGAGAGGAGCCCAGGCTGGAGCAGGGTTGCTGGCAGGACTGACCCGGGCTGGAGGAGGCTGTTCCTGACGGACGGCGCCCTGTGGGGGGACCCGGGCTGGAGCAGTTGGTGAAGAACTGCAGCCTGTGGGAAGGACTCACGCTGGAGAGGTTCATGGAGGACTGTCTCCCATGGGAGGGACCCCAGGCTGGAGCAGGGGAAGAGTGTGAGGAGTCTTTCTCCTGAGGAGGAAGGAGCAGCAGGGACAATGTGTGATGAACTGACTGCAACCCCCATTCCCCGTTCCCCTGCACTGCTGGGTGGGAGGAGGTAGAAAATTGGGAGGGGAGTTGAGCCCAGGAAGAAAGGACGGGTTGGGGGAAGGTATTTTAAGATTCGGGTTTAGTTCTCATTATCTCTACTGTGATTTGATTGACATAAATTAAATTAATTTCCCCAAGTCAAGTCTGTTTTGCCCATGACAGTAATTGGTGGATGATCTCTCCCTGTGCTCATCTCAACCCACAAGCTTTTTGTTATACCTCCTCTCCCAGCTGAGAAGGGGAGAGCAGCTTTGGTGGGCACCTGTAATCCAGCCAGTGTCAACCCACCACAAGCTTCTTCTGATTTTCAGTGGGATGCTGTAGCCCGTGTATGCAAACGTATCTTAGTAGCTGAATGACATGGGGCAGCATTTGTAAGGCAAGACTTTCTTATGTTTAAGGCACTTGGTGTCCAGTTTTTGCCTTTGTTCCAAAATTCATGTGTATGTTGGACAAGTTATTACGACCAGATTGCTTGTTTTTTGCATATACTGCTGTTGAACAATTACTCAGTGAGAAGACAGCTGATTCTCTATTTTGATCACGTTCTCCCACTCCTAATTCACACTGGCAGAATTTTATTCTATTAGGAAGACCTGCTCATTTTAATGGACCTCCTTCAGAATACTGCCCAGTGTGAGTAGGGATGCCAGATCTCCCAACACAATGGTGTAGAGTGGAGGTTGTAGCTGCTAATTCTACCTCAAAGGATTAACATATTCCTAACACATAGTTCTGCTTGGAGATGGAGGGTAAATTTTTCATCTTGGATTTAACAAGGGTAAGAATATCTAACTCAGGATATAAGCCATGCCTAGAAGAGTGCTGTTGTTACATGTATTAATACCAAGAATTTAAATATTTGATCATTCCAAATAAAACCAGCCAAGTTAAAAAAAAAAAAAGTTTTAACTATGACCAGTAAACACAGAGATATTTTTATGCTATGAGTGTTTTTGAGGGCCATTCACTGACATATTGCTTGACTGCTTTTGAGACTTCATAAGCTCTCTAAGCCTTAGTAGCATGTCAGGCATAACAGTGGTTGATCTCTCTCCCATTGGCATAGTGCAAGTTAATATTTAAAGGTGTTTAAAAATCGCTCACTAAAAAAGACTGATGTGTTCATTACAAACTCTTCTTAGTTACTGAAACAGTTCATAAATAAACATCCTTTAGGGTCAGAATTTTGAGCACAGCTTTGTCAAGGGAAAAAAAAAAAGAGGCTTCTTTGTCATATAATTCAAATAAAAATCATATTGGGTTGCTTGCCTTCCTGGTTCAGAGCTTCTAAATGGCTGTTCTTTTTAGGAATGCTTTGTTGGTTATGGGTCTACATTACACATGTGCAGGTAGCCGCAAGTACTAGAATGAGTTTTGCCAAGGTATTACCATGCACAGGACCATGCAAATCTATTCAGCTTCTCAGAGTATTTACATGCATTGAGGGCTTACTCAAGCTCCTTTTCAGTATTGGTACACTGCATGGACAGTGTGATTTCCCCCCTGCCCCTCCTTCCACCCTTCTCCCTTGACTTCCGTGCAAGTTGGTAAGACTTCAACCAGAGTTCAAGTAAATGCAACTGAAGTTGCTTAGAAAAGTAAAAGGGAAGATACAACTTCTGATTTTGCAAATACTTATGCATGTGGTTATTTCAGTCCCACACAGCTTGGTCAAGACAAACTTTTTCCTTTTTTTGGGTCCCCAGACGACTCTGTGACTTCACTGTGAACATTACCACAGAATCATAGAAGCTTTGGTTTGGAAGGGACCTCTAAAGGTCATCTAGTCCACCACCCCTGCAATGAGCAGGGACATCAACTGAAGCAGGTTGCTCAGAGCCACATCCAACCTGACCTTGAAGGTTTCCAGGGTTGGGTCATCTACCACCTCTCTGGGCAGCCTGTGCCAGGGTTTCATCACCCTCACTGTGAAACATGTCTTCCTTATATTTAAACCTACCCTCTTTTAGTTTAAAATTATTACCCTTTGTCCTATTGCAACAGGCCCTGCTAAAAAGCCTGTCCCCACCTTTCTTATCAGCCTCCTTTAAGTACTGGAAGGCTGCAATAAGGTGTCCCCGGAGCCTTCTCTTCTCCAGGCTGAACAACCCCAACTCTCTCAGCCTGTCCTCACAGGAGAGGTGTTCTAGCCCTCTGATGATTTTTGTGTCCCTCCTCTGGACCCGCTCCAACAGGTCCATGTCTTTCCTGTGCTGAGGGCTCCAGAGCTGAATGTAGTACTACAGGTGGGGTCTCACTGGAGTGGAGGGTCAGAATCATCTCCGTCAACCTGCTGGCAATGCTGCTTTGGATGCAGCCCAGGATGTGGTTGGCCTTCTGGGTTATGAGCACACATCACTGTCTCATGTCCAGCTTTTCACCCACCAATACTCTCAAGTCCTTCTTGGCAGCACTGCTCTCCATCCCTTAATCCCCCAGCCTCTACGGATACTAGGGATTGTCCTGACCCAGGTGCAGGACCCTGCACTTGGCCTTGTTGCACCTCATGAGGTTCACACGGGACCATTCCTCGAGCTTGTCCAGGTCCCTCTGGATGGCATCCTGTCCCTCAGGTGTGTCAACTGCAGCACTCAGCTTGGTGTGGTCTTCAAACTTGCTGAGGGTGCACTTCATCACACTGTCTACATCATTGATGAAGATATTGAAGAGTACCGGTCCCAGTACGGATCCCTGAGGGACACCAGTCATCACCAGTCTCTATCTGGACATTGAACCATTGTGCAGTATCCTCTGGGTACAACCATACAACCAATTCTTCATCCAGCGAACAGCCCAGCCCTCAAATCCATATCTCCAATTAGAGAGAAGGATGTGGGGGACTGTGTCAAAGGCCTTACAGAAGTCCAGACAGAAGACATCGGTAGCTCTTCCCTTGTCCACTGACGTAGTCACTCCATCATAGAAGGCCACTAGGTCGGTCAGCAGGACTTGCCCTTGGTGAAGCCATGCTGGCTGTATCAAATCACCTCCCTGTCCTCCCTGTGCCTTAGCATAGCTTCTAGGGTGATCTGTTCCATGATCTTCCCAGGCACAGAGGTGAAGCTGACAGGGCGGTAGTTCCCAGGGTCCTCCTTGCAACCCTTTTTAAAAATGTGTGCGCAGTGTTTCCCTTTTTCCAGTTTCCAGGGACTTCACCTGACTGCCAGGACTTTTCAAATATGATGGAGAGTATCTTGGCAACTCCATCAGCCAATTCCCTCAGGACTCTGGGATGCATCTCATCAGGTCTCATCCATCACCTCTAATGGTATTATTCATTAAAAAGCCAAGAATATAGTACCACTGCAGTACAATCTATACTTGGAATTCAGGGGTTTGCTCAGCTTCTAAAGTGTTAATTTACATATGGCAAACTTGGTATTTCTCTGTGTGTATTCTAATTTTGGGTTTTTGTTGTTTTTTTTTTTTAAGATCTGGGTTAACTGTAGAAAGTATCTTCCAGAATTGGCTTGACACTTCCGGAATACCAAAGGTAAATGCGAAATACCAGTTCCCAGTTCCTTCTGGAGTCTTGCATTTGTCATTACATTATATGTTATTTAAATCAGCACCTGAGCTTATAACAGTTATGGTTTTAAATAAACGGTTTTGATGATGACTGCTTTGCACATCTTTATACAGGTTTAGCTTTTATCAGTTGCATGTTTTTGCTTCTACCATTGTCTCAACAAACCTGCGAGAGCGCAAATCTTACAAAACTTATCCTCTTGCTTAATATTGTAGTCACATGGAAGTACGCTTTACAGGATAGTGGTGGGCTCTACTAAATGTTAGGGGCATTGTTCACAGTTGTCAGTGTATGAATCACTTGAAAGCCATGCTGGCAGCAGTAACTAAATGTTAAATTATTTGTACTTTAATTTTTTGTGAATATTGTGACTTGCTCAAGAATCTGCTGCATGGGTAACATATTTAATTGGTTTTACAGCTCTCTTGCAATTGTGATTGAACATTATTTTCACCTTTTAATACTAAAAGCTTTTAATATTAATATTTTAAATCTGTGAACTGAAAATGCTTCGCTGTGTCTGTGTTATGTGAAGGCTCTGATTATTCATTTTGGTCCAAAACTGAGATTAGCTGAAGAGAGAGATCTTCCTATAAATGTTTCTAAAAACCACCTTTATACACAGTATGTTTTTCTTATGCACTGGGGGCTCAATTTCTAAGTGATCTCCCCTAAGCTGGCATGCCCTAGGTGGCTCGGGATTTGTCTTGCCTACTGGGTGCACTTGATTCCATTTTGCATTAGCTTTTTAAAAAATGCAACTTTTAAAAGTTAGAATGGTAAGTCCTGGTTTGTACGTGCAAAAGTGAAGGTACTTAGGCAGCATGACTGAGGCTGTGAGGAGTCACCATGTTTGCAGGTAGAATTGTCAAAAAAGCTGGAGAGCTCAAAACGCTGCGCAGTGGCCACGGAGCCGGAGCTGTTCCCAAATGGTGGGGCTGAGCTCTTCCCTTGGCAGCTTTAGAGGTGTGCGTGTGCACTGTTCTCTGTAGGCTGTAGAAGGTTCTTTTGGAGGTTTTGCCCTGAGGTCAAAATGTATTTGAACTAATATTCGAAGATGCTATAAAACCAAGGTGAAGCTTGTTTTCTGCTGTAAAACTACTGAAAATATAACTAGCTCTAATTGGAAGGGAGGAAAGGGAGGGACAGTAAGTATCATCATGCATCTTGATGTTCTTTCACTTCTTGAAAAAGGACCTTGATTTTAATGCCATGTTTTGATCGAGGTTTTGTTCCTGATAGAAAATTCAATACATTGTAGAACAACTGCTTCAAGTATAGGGGAGAAACTGATGTTGTGCAGCTGTAGTTGTAAAATGCTGAACTGTCTGACTGAAATGAAAGTTTTCTGGTATTTTACTTACATGTACCTCTTTGAGGATGTGCCTTATTAGTGTCCCACAATCAACTCTAAAATCATATGTAAGGAAGATAGGAGCAGACTGAAGAATTGAAAATGGTTTTCATTAATGTGAAAACTGAACTCTGTTGTCCCGAGTGTGTGCCGTAAGTTGCTCAGAATGAATAGTGAGTAGTTTCATTATACCCTACAAGTATCTATTGCTTGTGTAAACAAAACATGTAGCAAAAGTATTTCCACATCCAGCAGGCTTGTAAATCATTGTAAATTTTCTTTAAAGATCAAAGGGATTGCCCTGATAGTTTGGCTGTTTTGTAAAAACAACATCAACAGGAATGGTGCTGCTTTAGTAGCCTGCTTCTTCTGAGCATCAGCATGCTGACCTCTATCCCTCATCCCTCTGTTGCTCTCTTCCCTCAATAACCTTTTTGATGATTTGCACTTGTTGCCTTCAGCACTTCTTCGGCTCTTGTGGGAACTAGTTTCCACTCTATTGAAAGAACTGGAGCTGTTGTCGTTCCAAATAGGAAACCTTGTTTTCTTTGTGCTTTATTAAATCATTTGGGGATCCCTTACTCCTGAAATCAAGACTGTAGAGGTTGCTTAACAGCCTACATTAGTATTTATAATCTAAATATGACTGTATTTACTGAGTACAGAAGTATAAATCTGCTTGTGTGCTGTACAGGAGTAGTATTTAGTATTATCTTTATTTAGTATTTAGATTATCGTTATTTCAGCAAACTATTAACTTGGCTAACATGATGAATCTATGTGAAGGCACACAGACCACCTTCTTTCATGCAGGTGAACTACCTGCATCATAACTAGCAGCCCAGGAACACCACAGAACTGATTTGTTCTCTCTCATACGGGTTACCAGGTGAGTGGACTAGGGTGTGGAAGGTTTCTGTCAGCAACTTTGGGCGAAGTCGTACGGCTGAGCCAGCCAGTCCAGGCAAGTGTGAGCAGTATGCAGTACAGAGTACCCACTGCAGCTGACTACCGTTTTTGAGTACTGGAGCAACTGAAAAGCAGCTGCTTATCACCCTTATTTTACTGACTGCACTATAAAGTCCTGTAGCATAATAGTTAAAGTCACTCTTAACCCTGCAGCACCTACTTTTACAGCAACAAAGTGCATTTCTTAGTGGTGTAGTAGATACCTATGAGAAATAACTTGATTGAGAATTTAAACATTTTAAATTCACAAATACTCTCTAAGACTTCACTGCATTTGGAGTGGCAACTTCCTTACTGGGGAGACTATCCTCTGTAATGGGATTGGGAAATATGCATCCTGATGTCCATTCTGAAAACCAGTTCAGAACATGGTTCCTCTATATCTCTCCCATATGAGCATTTTTTTGTTTTGTAATATCTGTGGTTGTTTCTGTGGCATCTCTTATTTCTGTGTTTCGGTATGTTGTGCTCAGGAAATTTACGTCATCCATTGACTATAAAGAAAATTCACCACTTGTGGTTCATTTACACCATTAGCTACCAAAGTGTTTTAAATAATTTTATTCCGTGGTTATATCCAAATCTATCACCTGTACACAACTGGGACTCTCTAGAATTTGGTAACAACATGGCCACTTAAAAACAAGTTGTTAGCCCACCCCTCAATTCACTGTTTTCACAACAGTGTCTAGCTTAAGGACACTAGAAGGGTACTTCTGCAAAAGATGGACGAGGGTAAATACTTTCCACTCCCCAGACTGCTGAAGCAACGTTACTTACCATCTTCCCTCCAGTACAGGAATTCGCATTTTGTATTCTTTACAGTCATATGTCATGGCATCTGTCTAACTGAAGATCCTGTACTCCTTTACTTGTGCTTTGTTACATTTGCCGTGCCAAATCCTGCCTCCAACTCTGTCCAGGGAACCACATATATTTGCGATTTTAAATATTCAAACTTCAATATTTGTCAATTTCTATTACCATTTCACTCTTGGAAAGTAATTTGGTCTTTTCTAAATATTGGGCCAGTTTCCAGGCAGTAATCAAGAATAACAGCAGTAATGAAGAATAACTTAAGGAATTCATACTGATAAATAAAAACAGAGTTTGGCCTCTTCCCATGAAAAAATAATTCTGCATGCCAAGTTACACTTCCAAATTTGGTATTTTCTAAAGCATTAAAGGTTAATCTTATAAAAAAGGGTGTGTGGTAGTGCCTGGCCAATTCTTTCTTAGATGGAAGAGTGCCACAGCACAGTGGTTGTCTTCAGTCTTGCTGTGCAGGAAGGTTTTCTCACACAGAAAACAGTAAGGAACATAAGAGATGAAAAGTAAGTATTTCTGAAATACAAGCTTTCATGAGGATTTTTTTTGGGGAGCACATCGTGGTGGTGTTAAATAGGGTGAAGCATATTGTGTTGTTGAAAATACCTTTTATCAAATCAGCAACCTTCAGCATGTACTTCTGTCTCAGAGGTGACTCACCAGGGTATTATAGCAACTTTTTACGTGCAAGGAGTAATGACTTAACACGACTAAGTTTAGTCAGTGAGTTAAGCTGGCAAGGAATAGAATCAGAAGAACAAAACAGCATTTAGAGCTGGAAAACATCTATGAAATCACTTAAGTCCACTTCATCCCTGCTGATGATAGTTTGTTCTCTTAGGTACGTTTTCTATTGTGTCTTTCAGTCTATGTAATGTTTAATTAGATTTTAATACTAAAAGACCATATGCTTCTCAAGGAAGTTTTTCTCAGTTTTGCACAGACTTGTCTTTGCAACAAGTATATATAACCTGTGTTATATTGCCTGCTTACTCTTACCTGAATTTCTTATTCTAACTTAGGTCATTAACCTTTTCAAAATGTGCTTAAAATCTTTCCCCATTTTGAGCTCTATTGTACACTGTTTAATTGAGAAGTAGACCAATAAACATTAGGTAGTCTCTGCATCTCATAAACTCCTTACATGTATTTTTTTAACTCATTCTAGTTCCACTACCTTTTGTTTTGCTTCTGAAACGGCATTGTTTCATAACATACTGCTATTTACTGATAAACTTGCTATCTTGAATGTTCCTTGGGTGTGTAATTCATTTGTTACCTTGTGTGATGAAAATTATGTTCTTCAGATTCATTCTTGAGTTTAAGAAAAAAAAGGGGGGGGGGGCCAAAAAAAAAAAGAGTAGTTGGCCTGCTCCTTCATGGTTTTTAGTTTCCAACAGATCCTTCAGTGTAATCTGCAAGTCTTAGGTGATCACACAGGTGCCCTGCAGCCACTGGGATAAACACATCAAACATCCCCTCAAAATTATGAAAAATTGGCAAGAGGTGATAGCACTACTGTATCCTTCTCCTAGTCCTTTTTCCTACTTTATCCTCCTGTTAAACTTAATTCTTATCCACTGTTCTACCTTAAACGGTATCTCCTCATTAAAGTAGGTACGGCCAACAGGTATATTTCAGAGTATGTAGAGCTCGTAGTGTGTATTGTGAGAATACTACTCCGTGCTTTCTAATTCTGAATGAACACTGGAGTACAGCCTCCTGTTACAATACTAAGAATTTTGCCACGTTAAAAGAATTTATACTTCCTCCTCTTTGCACTGCTGTTTGTTACTGTGGTAAAGCAGTAGTT